TAATGTATGCTATACGAAGTTATTACGATAATTGGTTTTTGTGCAAAAAAATTTTTTGCGGAAAAACACAATGAAGAGGAACGAGAAACACAAAGTAACAACTGATCGTTAGTAAAATACTCTACGTGAAACTATTCCTAGGAAAACTTTCCATGAATAACTATGCAAATAAAAAACAAGACCTATTACTCACCATGTGCTCCACTGCTTTTTCCTCTAATTCTGACAGAGTCCAATCGATGTGGAAGCTCAGAGGTTGAAGACGCGATTCCATTTCTCGTAACCATTTTCTTAGACATTTTACTTCATGTTCGAAATCTGTTAGAACAAATTTATTGCATATATATTAATAAAAAGCTATGTAAAAGAGGTAGAATATTTTTAGAAGCAAAAAAGATTCATCACCTGCTGTTATATCTTGCTGACTAGATACAGGTCGATCTATGGGCGCCATAATTTGCTCAACTAGTTCCCATTTTGCATTTAAGTGATCTACACGCCATGCTACTTCGTCTTTTAAAGTAGGAGCGCGAGAAATTAACTTTTCCGCTTGTTCGTTAAACAATTTGCGTCTGTATGCCTTGCGTCGTAGCTCCTCCATATGAGCCTAATTAATATAGCAACAATTTAATTTTCAAAATTATTCTAATAACTTTGTCATATATCTCGGGTAAAATTGATACGTACTGCACGCAGACTTTTGTCTAAAATATTCTCTTCCTTAGAATAGACCAATTCTTGAAGAATTCTTAACCACGAGTAAAGCTCTGAAAACTGGCTACTGACTTCCTTCAAATTCCAAGACTGTGTTGCTACATCTGTTTCATCCCATGTTAATTCACCATTTGCTTCCTGAAAAATTTGCATAAAAAGGTTTCAATATATTATCCAACATTTATATTTTTATACCACATGTATGCATAATTGGTTATTATAATAAAATAATGAAATTTTACTTTGCAAGTTTCGATTAAATTAGTATCCATAATATAATCATAATTAGATCTTATAGCTGCCCAAAGTCATCTTTACAGTCTTCATAGTTTATCCACATTCTTTGAACATTTGTTTGCTTTGGATCTTTCCTGAAAATATATAAGTTAGATTAATTTTTACATAGCATCATAATATGTAAAACATAGGTGATTAAATAATATTTATGACAACTAATACCAGTGACTAATAAATTCTAAGAACAAACCTTTTCTTGGTAAGACTATTATAAAGTCTTTCTGTCGTTGTTCTGACATGTCTCTGCCTTTCTAAGCTTTGACTATTTGGCTGAAGTGACGTTAGTGAAGAACTCATTTTTTTTGCCTTATGGTTATCTGTATTAAGATAATATTAAATGTAACAAGTTTATGTACTTTCTTTGCATCAATATATAATAAAATAATGAAATTTTAGTATCTTTCATACAATAATATAATTAAAATCATATCTGATAAGCTATATTGATATACTACAATTACAAAAAATACAAATATATGTATTTTGCATCATAAGAACATGCAATGTTGTAACAGTTCCTTTTAAGGCATGTCATGTGTAATGCCCAAAACAAAATGAAGGACAACTTTAAAATACACAGAGAATTTGTTGATGAACATAACCCTACTTGCATATCAAATTTTTACAAAATTTTATTTTACATGTGCAAATTTCGCTCAAAATAAATGCTAATCCCATGTGCACAGCGCTTTATTAAAATAGCAACGCGACAAGAGGGCATATTCTTACGTAAATATGTTAATTTCAGAAGAAAAAAATCGCGCCACAATTCCACTTTGCCATTTGCGATATCTGGCCGAGATAAACTCGAAAGGCGCGAGTTGATCGCGTGAAATTCCTCACTCGTCTCGACGCAGAGTAAATAAGAAAGATACTCACCCGTATTGCCGACAGTCATTGGGTCCTGATTAGATTGTCTTGAGTTTTGCAGCATGCATTACACGTTTCGCCGATGAAACCGGAGACCGGAGAGCTCGACGGCGAGACACGCGCGAGTTGGTGGGGCTGTACACACATCCGAATGAAGACACACCTGCCCGTCGTCTTGCGAAGAATGTCACCGGACAATTAAAAATTTCATTGCTTACGATCACTACTCGCGTTCTCCGCCCACGAAAGCGACGACGGTGCGGCCGAGGGGACTCGACGATTCGCCGACGCTTACAAACGGCATAACCCTTCTATTCGGCCAAGGGCTCGCGAAGCGACGTGGGGCGAATCCGCCGGAGTTTTTTTTGCAATAAAGGACCGCCGCATACCATAGTGCACCGTCGGCTTGCTCCGGGTTGCACTGTGATGCGCGTGCGTTCGCTGCTCGGTGTTCTCGTTCTCGGCGCGCGGTATTTCGATGATCGGTTACGCCAGCATTCTTCAGTTATTGCTCATCTGCTAAACAGGAAAGTTTATTCGTATCAGCGTACCTCGAGCGGCGTGGTCCGTCCACGAAATTAGCTGGCTCGACACCATGAGTGTCCTTGATGTTTCCTTAATAGGTATTTTCAGAACAAACACAATACGTACCTCTAAAAGGGGTATGCAATGATATGCAGGTGTAATGACGGCAATGACTGAAGATATATCCAGGCAAACGTGCGTAGAAATATGTATGAAGAAACGGACCAATCCAGCATTCTTTACATTAGACGTATGATTGGTCCATTTCTTTATGCACGTGCTCATGCGTCAATGCTAGTTTCTCTGGATATACCTTTAGAGTACTGTCTAGGGTCTCTAGAAATTCGCGCGGCTACAACAAGCACGATAAGCGTCACGTTTCAAACATGGGTGATACCGGTCACGCGGATATGTTGCCCGTCGATACCGCGCGGTTGACAACCGATTCTGGCTTCAGCGAATTGCTGAGGTCAGCAGAGCAACTGTCCGCAGCCGTCGAGGGAAACGAGGATTTGCCGCAGGTCGAAAGAAATCTTCGACAGCTATTAGAGGCATCCAATGAACTGTGGTCTCGTGTTACACAGACTAGCACCCAGGACAACGAAGCACAGGCGTAAGTTTATTTTGACGAATTATTATTAAAAATATAGTTTTTCTAGATTTTTTGTAGTGTGTAATTTGAAACTATACGTCAACAACTTTTTATTTTGTCACGTATAACACATAACCTTATGTATTTTGTTAATGTTAATGTTATATTTTAAAAAATTAATGTTTCAGCCATGTCTTATTAGGCTCGCGAGGAATAGACTTGTCTCAAATCTCACAGAAGTTAAATTCCCTTAGTGCAAGACGCACATTTGAGCCTTTGGATCCCATTGCAGATACTGACATTGTCAGTTATCTTAGGAATGAAAAAGAAAATGCGATTCTCTCCATTATTGAGCAGGTCCATAAGGATGTATGTATGATAATAATGATTTAAATATTCATATACTTGGACATACACAATAAAATATATAATTTTATCTAGTATTATTATTTAATATTATCTTTTTTTTTAGACATTTGAGCTTACTAGAGCTCAACAAATGGAACATATGCTTGGCGAATGGAAGCAAATGCGTTTTGAGATAATAAATGCCATGACCGCTCCATCCGGTGAGCTGGTGGATTTGCGTGGAGCACCACAGCGTACAAAACTAGCTGGTTCAATGATCAGTGGTCTATCCAGTATAGAAGTCGCATATGTAAAAGAATTGAAGAATTATAATGATCATGTACTTAGAGGTATAACACGGCCCAGTTTATTCAACACATTTTGCAAAGCTGCTGAGTCTTTTGACGACAAGAAGATCGTCGATTTGTGGCAAATGGTGAAATGTATGGTCGATATTCCACCGACACCTAGAGGAGATCAGATTAAATCCAGAAGCAGTTCTGCAATTGAACAGAAAATTGTTTTGCAAGCCAGAAAGTATCTAGAGAACAGATATAGAGAGTTTATGAACTCCATAATCAATGAAAATTTAATGCAGGCGAAACGAGGTGGCGTTCCAGGTACCATACCTCTGGTCAAAAGCTTTGTGGGTGTCAAAGTACAAAATCTGAGGGACTTGGAGGATGTTATGGTCAAAGACAATTATGGCTCGACACCGTTGTGGCCTTTAGTATATTATTGCATGCGATCCGGAGACTATAAAGCTGCTCTGCAGTGTTTGAGCCAATGCCGTGCAGAATACCCAGAGTTTAAAGCAGCTCTTGAGGAAGCTTGCGACGACCCGCAACATCATCCGAGTAGCCGCGCTGAGTCTCTTCTAAAATTGCATTACAGAAAACAGGTGCGATCAGTCACTGATCCGTACAAAAGAGCGTCTTATTGCGCATTGGTTCCTTGTGAGCCAGATGATTTGCATTCTGAAGTGATATTTACAGCCGACGATTACTTGTGGTTAAAGTTGTGTCAAGTGAGAGATCAGGCAGATGTTGAAAATAAACTGACACTGGATTACTTGCAGACCACAATTTCAGAAATATACGGTAACATTAATTTTATAGCTTGCATTTCGCAGCCTTGTTTGAAATTAAAGATGTTTTAATTGATACGATTTTGCAGGAGAAACTTATTATCACGCTCACGAACAACCATTCTTGTACTTCTCTATGCTATTCTTGACCGGACAGTTCGAAGCGGCCATAGAATTCTTAGCTACTGGCGCTGGAGCGAGACATCTACCGCATGCGGTACATCTGGCAGCCGCGATGCACGAGCATAATTTGTTGGCTGTCAGTCAAAGTGTTTTAGCACCTCTTATAAGCGTGGATCCTGCCGACAAACCGCCAGCGAAAAGATTGAACTTTGCTAGATTGATACTGTTGTATGTTAAAAGATTTGAGTCGTCGGATCCGAAAGAAAGTCTTCATTATTTATTTTTATTGAGGTATAATCCTAGCTTATCATTTAAAATTGCTTGTTAAGCAAGTGTTATTCATATTCTTTGTTTTTAGATGTATGAAAGATCCGTATGATCGTAATATGTTTGCTGCATCTGCCGCGGAAATGGTAGTAGATGCCTCCCCTGCAAATCGCGTTTTGTTGGTTGGAAAACTTGACAAAGATCGAAGACTTCCAGGAATCTTAGATCAATTCCAAATCAATACAGAAGATGTGATAAATATATGCGCCGAAACGTTGTACAGGAAAGGTCTGCTCGAAGACGCAGTCATGATGTATGATTTAGCTGGTAATCACGAAAAGGTTCTTAGTTTGATGTGCACTCTTTTGACGCAAGTTGTTAGCCAGAGAGGCTCGCCTGGTTCTTTCAGAGCGCGATTACAGGCTACAGCTATGGACATCAGTGCGAGGTAAATTGCCTGCTATTGCAGTATAATTCACGATCGTGCAAATAGCTTCATATTTAAATTTTGAATTATTCATAATGTAAATCTTTTCAGATACAAAGATAATGTGATTCAAGCGCCTTCAGAAGTGGTATTTTCGTTCTATACCTTGAGAGATCTTATGGTATTTTTCGATCAATTCCATAATGAGCAATATCAAAGTGCGCTTAGGGTTGGTATTTAAAAAAAAAAATAAATAAATAAAGAATAAAATAGTAATTGTACAGATTGTTTAATCTCAGTTAATTTTTAAACACAGCTAAAAATTTTATATAGTAATTTAAATAATGTAATGTTTTTTTAGACAATCGCGGATTCAAAGATGCTACCTCTTCAAGTGAAGGAAGTTGATGAAAGGGTGAACGCTTTACGTCGGGTGTCACCCGATGTGGCTGGCACATTGGCTGATGTTCTTTTAGCTACAATGACGATTTTGTATCGTCAGTATCAAAAATTGCGATGTGTCGAACCGGGTGATGAAATCGCGAGGGAGCAACAGTTGCACGATCTTCGAGAGCAAGCGCGAGCATTAACAAGTTTCGCAGGCACTTTACCGTATCGTATGCCAAACGAGACAAACAGCAAACTTGTACAAATGGAGATTCTCATGCATTAACGTTGATTGCTATTAAATATAATCCTTTGAGTTTGTAATTCTTTTTTTCTTAAACCTAAATATTTGAAGAGGATCTATATATTTACTAATATTTATTAGTCAAAAAAATGTTATTAATTTTTTTATATAATACATACAAAAGTTTATTTCTTCTATTTAATTTTAAGTGCAATAAAATTGCACATGTTTATGAAGGTATATATTGATGGCTTCCATATTTTGTCAAGCGTTATAATAGGCTATTACAAAGAATTATGTGAAGTGCATTAAAAGACCAGTGTGATTTGAATTATTTTTATATTTCTATTTGTAAATGTGTGACAATAAATATAAATTTTTACAGTACAACTATTAATATAATAAATATTGAACACAGTGATTAACTTATATTACGTCTTTAACTTATATTACAAAGTTTTTTTTTATAAGCTGTATCTTTTGATTAAAAAGCATCTTAATGCTAAAATCGTGTACATTATCTTGGTGGATTATTAGAATCTTTTAGATTAGGAGATTTCAAAGATGTTACAGTTATTCCACAACTAAGGTCATCAATTTTACCTTCTTTAACCTGCAAAGAATAATTTTTTTTATATGAAATACATAAATAATTTCTAAATTATCTCATACTTACTGCTCTATAATCGAGAAACATTTCTTTAAAAGCCAAGAAATCTGTTATTGTTGATAGTACTTCAAAAACTTCACCTTCCAGTTCTGCTTGTTTCTCACTGAATTTTAGTGTGCAAACATGCAAAAATAAAAAGTTCATGGAATTTTATATATATATATTACGATTATATATTATCATTATAATTACTTTAGTTGTTGTAAAAGTGTGTTTATTGTGAATTGTGGCATGACTTTCTTAAGATAATCCACAATATATGCTTCTACAGCTTTATTCTGGAACATATAAAATGTTTTTCAAGGAATTATGACACTTCTTAGTATCTCATGATTTTTACAAAAGACTCACATATTCATTAAATATATCAGTATAAATCAACTTGTTGTCTTCTACTGGTTCGAAAACGCTCCAATACTTTTCTAAAAATTTGTGTTGAAGAGCTTGGAAATCTTCCTCTGGAATATTAATTTATCGTAAAATACACTCAATTTTATTAACAAATGTTTATAAAATTTATTATTGGAATAATCTTATACCTAACAACAAATCTTCTATATGTCCAATTATTTCATCAAACGAACAGTTTTCCTCGCTCTTTTCCAGACTCGACAAAATCGATTCATCTGTTAAGAAAATGTATTTCAACATGTTTATAAGAAAATAAGTTAATATAAGAAAATAAGTTATATTATTTCTTGCGATTTGCATTAAATTTGTAAAGATTAAATATCGCGCGCAAACAAAATAAGGCAAAATAGACGAACCCATGTTTTTCTTTTCTTGCAGTAAATGATTATATATAAAATAGTAATTTATATCATAAATTAAAACTGCGTGTCAGAAATAGTCATAAGCTGTCACTGTATCACTGGTTGTCACAGTGCTACAGCTGATGGAATTGTTCGTAAGTCGCATGGCAAAGATTAGGGCTGTAGTACATAGAAAAATATAAGCAGTAAGACTTAAGGTACATTTTCATGATGACGCCGACGCTTTTTTAAAGCCTGTATCAGACTGTGCATCTTGTTGCAGTAATTCACAAACGATCTAGTAAATTATTAGAAATGTACCATACAGCACACAGCATTACTAGTAATTTACTCGCTTGCGAATTGCTGCAGCAAGTTACATAATCCGATGCAGGCTTTAAGTTTGTATTTTCTAGTTAGATATTTTGCGGTAGGATGCTTTGTATCTAGATATTTGTGTCATAACTCAAACTTGTTTGCATATGGTTTGGTGATTCCATGCTCGGTACGTTTTTTAGATGTATGAGATTAAAAATAAGCAACAAGTTCTTTAATATCAGAACTGATCAATTAAATTTGTCATAAAGAACGTGAAATATATTTAAAATATAAACGAACTAAGAGAGTAAATATTAAACAAGAAAAACAACATAATAATTTTGATTATTCTCAAGATATCAGTGAACTTTTTAAATGGGCACCGTTGAGTATGGTTTTCCAGTGATAGGCGGGTTGATGCCGGTAAGCAGAATAAAAAAAAAAGGATTTCTATAAATTTAATTACATTTCTAATTAAAGAAAATGTATAATTATAATTGTAGTTTAACTGTATAGTTGTATTATTTTAATTTTTAGTTTCTATTTTTTCTTAATTTAATCTTTATTTTATCTTTTTATTAGCAAATACAAGCTCTCATAGCTCCACCAATATCTGAAGACTCCAGGATAGCTAAGGCAAAAAAGGAAAAAGAGGAGAAGAAACATCCATACTTTAAAAGACGAGGACGTGGTCATAATCGTGACTTTTGCGATGCTTGTAAAGACGGCGGAGAACTCATATGCTGTGATAAATGTCCAGCTTCTTATCATTTACAGTGCCAGTAAATGTTATTAATATTGTTATAGAATGCTGAACAAAAATATCATTAGGCAAGATCATTATTAACACTTTCAAAATCTTTATTTTTTAGCTATCCTGCGGTGGATCCAACAGATATTCCCAATGGTGAATGGTTGTGTTATGCCTGCCGTTGTGCTCCTAAAAGAGAGCTGTTAGATGGTAAAACAAATGAAAAGAAAAAGAAAAAGTCTGCTTTGGAAGTATTAGCCTTGGCAGCTTCTCTGGTGAATCCAAGAGAATTTGAGCTACCTAAAGAATTGCAATTGCCTATAATGTTTCCTGGAAGTAATAAACTGGATTATGTATCTGGTAGAAGGGGTAAACAGTTGAGCTCCTCCTACAATAATGGTAAGAATAATCTCCTATCCCTTCTCTCTCTTTCTCTCTCTCTTACTGTTAACGTTTTTTTAAGCATATTTTAAAGATCAGATATAATTAATTTAGGCTAATTAAGCATTATCCTGTATTAATCCTGTATTAATTGTGACATTCTTTTCTTTTAGTTGGAAAGAGTCATTGTTTGGATAGCAACTTAATGGTTCCATTGCCAGCTCGTCTGTGTTTTCAATGTGGACGCAGCTGCAGGAAGGCTCCATTAATCCCATGTGATTATTGTCCATTATACTTTCATCAGGACTGTTTAGATCCCCCGTTAACTGCCTTTCCTATTGGTAGATGGATGTGCCCTAATCATCCAAATCACTTTATAGATCAAAATTTATTGACTTCTTATAGAGTGACAGAACGCATGAAGCTTTGGGACAAATATGCCAATCAGCCAATAGATCAGCATGCAGTTAAAGTAGAATTTATGCGTAAAGCACGCACTGTCAATCCGTTATTTCGTACGAAAATGAAATTGGAATGTCGTCCAAGGATAACAGTTCCTGCAAGTGTAAAATGGCATTATAAGAATCCATCACAATTAGTTCCTTTACAACATAATCAAGACTTTTTTATATTGCCAGTAGAGAATACTATAGATAAAGACAAGCAACATACAAATTTCGATAAAACAGACAGTAATAAAGATAATAGTATAGAAAATACTAAAATTAAAGAAACCTGTGATAAAAAAGAAAGAGAGGAATATGATACAACTAAGAATGAAAAAAGTGATCAAGAGGAAATAATGAACAAAAATGAATGTGGAAAGCAAAGTAAATTGAATAAAATGAAAATTGAATCTACAATTGATAATTCTAAAGAATACAATAATCTCCAGCTTCATGCAAAATATCGTGGTTATACCATCAACGAGAGCGTCAAATTGTTAGAAAGACCAGTATTAGAGATATTAGCGCAACAAAGATTATGGCAAATATTAAATCCAGATGGAGAGCAAATATCAAATCCAAATGGACAGAGTTACGAAGCGATAAATTATAAAAGGGCTAGAGCCGCATTATGCCTTTTAAGCTCTACACCTAAATTACCAGCTTTTATGATTTATAGAACATTTGCTATCGGCAATGGCCCAAACTGTGATCTGATTTTATCTAATTATGGTAGCTGTAGATCCACATCCTCTAGACATGCAATTATATTTTTTGATGAGGTAAATGGATATCATAAATTTTGTCCAATTATTTCTTATTATATTACACGTGCTTTTAATATTCAAAATATAAGAAAAAAATTGCTTTTAATTGTCGATATTTGTCTCTCTTGCAGATAACCAGATGTTATGAATTACTCAATTACAGCGAATATGGAACAGTGGTAGACAATGTGCTATATGATTTTGACGTTTCTGACGATGAAGAAATAAAAGAGGAAAAGACTGATAAAGTAACAAAAAATATTAAGAATGAGGAAACTTTCGAAATAACAAAAAAGATTTTGCATAAAGAAGAAGTAACCTGCTTGCAAGAAAACGTGCTCAATGATGACAAGATTATATGTAAATGTAACATGAGAGTTGATGCGTATCTAGAAAAAGAAGAAGATGAAGAAACTGCAATTATCGAACATGGTTCAATTATTGCTTTTGGATGTCTCAAATTTGTATTTAATATATTGAATGCACATGTAAATGATTAAAATTTTTTATTGTAATTTAAATTGCATTATTTTTTGTTTTGTATACATTTTTTTTTATAATAAAAATCTTTCATTAAATGCAAATGTTAATGTGTGTGAAGTATAGAGCAGTATTATCATATGCAAAAATATTTTGTATTTTAGTATGGCAATCATCTGATATTGATCCAACTGGATAAAATTCAAAATAATTGAGAATAAGTTTTTTCCACTCTTAAAAAAGTCATGAAAGATCGATATTCGAATGTATCGAAAGTATTGTTGACGCTTTTCCGCGACGCTGATTGGTTATCGCGATTATTCTGACAGTTTGATACTTTGAGAGCGAAGGTTATTTTGACGATTATTTGAAATAAAAAAAATTTTATTAAAACATTTAGATTTCATATTAAATTACTATAATAAGCACGCGCGCGTAGCACAGGCCTGTATTGTTCTAGTCATTTGTAAAAATTAAACAATCTATTAATAATTCCCTAGAGAACAAACATCAGTATATGCAATATACGAGAAGAAACTTCCTAGATTTATTGACAGATGGTGCGTTGGCTTCTGCTTGGATCCAGTTTTTCCGCATTATACATACATAGGTATGCACAAGTGACAGTAACAACGAAATAAATTTTACTGATGGTCAAAAATTCATCGAAATATGTAAATACTTTTTTTTCTAAACAAAATGAGCAGAACATTTAGAGAAAGATGAAATTATTGACCAAATATATATTATTTAAGTAAAGTGGCTTGAGAAACGACGTAAACGTTGAGGTTGACAGGTGAACGTTAATAAATAAAATCAACGATTTCTTCGCATGCCGATGACTATTTAATGCCGACCATGGAGGATCGTGACGGTAACAAGGAACGCCGAGTTTTACAGCACTACGTCGTCAAACAAGACACGGTATTGGTACGGATATTTGGTGTGTGCGACGTTAACGTTAACGAGTTGCGTATGGGAATGCTTGTAGAAGCACTGGAGGATTTAAAGGACAGCGCGTTGAGAGTCCGTGTGACCGACACCGTCAACGAATGTAAGACCTGGTGCGGTACAGAATGGCGTTGTCACAAATATGATCTAATCCCTGTATCGCAGAAGATCTGGCAGTACTTGCTCGCTGTGCAGTCTCCTCAGGAAAGAGTTCGACTGGCGAGTGATGAAGTTTTATGCGAACGAATAAGGAACGTATCTGTGAACGACAGAGTCTGGTACTGCTCCGACTCCTCTAACAGACGAGCCAGAGAACCAGCCTTTGTCAAATACATTGGTCCTGTGCTGCAACTTGGATCGGGACATTACTTTGGCTTGGAACTACTGGTGAATTAATAGTTACTTCCATTTGCTGCTGCTTATCAAAGATTTTTGATTTTGTACATCTAGGAATAGATTATATTATATACAAGATGTATGCAAAGTCATAACTCTTCCTATTACCTTGTATATATTAGAAACAATGAGTAAAAATTTTAGCAAAATAAACATTACAAAATAAACTTTATTTCTTTAATGAATCTTATTTTAAGACATTTAAAACATAATTATTAGATTATTTAGTATTAAAAATAAAAAATATAATAAATATAAAATTGCTCTACTTTTTATGACAAAGATATATTGATTTTAAAATTGTACAAAAAAAGATTTACACTGATAGCAAGAAAATATGTAATTTTTGGATATCTATTGTAGCTTATAATTTAGCTTACAATACATTGATTGGATACAGTAATGCATATCAATATAACAAACAATGACATAAAAATAAATTTACAAAATAACTTTACAGGAAAGTCAGGAAATATCGAAAACCTCTCTGCTGGCTAAAGAATATTTTACTCCCACACATTGGAATGCCATTATACTGCTTGCTACTATAAATAATATATATCCATACAAAATTGAAACTGACACAGGCAACGTTGAAAAAAGTATTTATATAATTGCAATTTAATGTTACTTTAATAGTTTTACAATAATTCAATTTGCATACTTTTATTTCAGCATTGTTTTTGAAGAATAATATAGGAACCGACTATGCTAACGATAAGAAGAAAATATCTATATTGGACAGTACACCAGCTGTTTTGTTAGAACAATTTACCATGTTTGATGATAATAAAAATAACAACCAAGAGTCTATCAATATGTTGAAAGAACGCCATCAAGCCACGAAATCAAATCTTGAAAATGACGTTAATAGCTATAAAAACGTCGATCATACTCTTTTTAAATGCGGTAATTTTACAATTGTTAACACAATAAATATATTTATTCTATCAGTATGTTTTTCTAAAAATCTCAAAGTGAGATTAGCCGGCGCCGGATCGTAATTTCTTTCTTACGGTAGAGTTTAATAATAGTTCAGACGTTTAAAAATAGACACAAATTTAGTCTGACTTCCTAGAGTGCTGCGAGCAGGTTATAAAGCACTCTATTATTGTATTTTTGTTTAAAAATGACAACAGAATTGCAGAACATTCCTATTTTTGTATTGGAGCACAAATGGAGTAGTGATATAGAAACAAATTTGTACAGTGATGTGGAGGATGCGCATATAGACTTGTTGGATTACAGTAAGATGTAGTTAACATCCTGCTCTATCACATTTCTAATTCAAATATTTGTGTTCATGCGGTAATGTTCATATTTTTATCGAAAAGATAATAATTTTCACGCTCAAATATTGTTTTTAAATGTTATTTATGAATTATGTAGAAATAGATGCATTGTGTATATATTTATAGAAGTGTTATGTAGAAATGGACATATAATACAAATGATTGCAACAAATTGTTACTTGTAATAGGTAGTGCACCAGAGAAAAATGACGTCAAGAAATTCAGCAGAGCAGAAAGTAAGGGAGATCTGGTGGTAGGCTCCAATGTAAAAGTGCTGCTAGATTCTGATATTCATTATGGAATTATTCGATGGATCGGCACACCGCCTGGTACAAGTCCTGGCAAAATAATGGCAGCTGTCGAGCTGGTAAGTGAAATGCACTAATTAAATGAACTGTGGACTTACAAAAAAAAACAAACTCGAACGATGTATTATTCATAGGATGATGGACATCCTTTAGGTACCGACGGAACTTACAAAGACATCAGATATTTTCATTGTCTGCCTTATAGAGCTATATTTACAGATATTGAACACTGTTCTCATTACGAAAATGTGAGTATGGATAGAATTAGTTATTTGCAATATTATCTTGTCAATAAGTTATAAAAATGAGTGGATTTTTTTTTTACGAACAGACGAAGCTTAACGAACGATCGACGCTTACAAATAACGATAATTTTGGTGACATGGAAAGTTCCGTAATCGCAGGCATAGTACGACCTATCTCTGTCAAGGGAGATTTGGAAAGTATATGTGGGAAATATCGTGGTATCCAAGGTCATCATAATTCGTGCTACTTGGACGCTACCCTCTTCAGCATGTTTACGTTTACCAGTGTATTCGACAATCTTCTATTTCGGTAATTAATTTTATTTTCTAATTGAAAAAAAAAATATTTTATTTAAATGTGTTTTATCAAATATATACATTTAAATAAATGTCATAGCAGCAATTCTTTTCAGACATGATTTTTGTATGTAATGATTTTTCAGACCGCCGAATGAAAAAGATTGTCCGCAGTATGAAGAAGTGCAGAGGGTTTTGAGAGAAGAAATTGTAAATCCACTCAGAAAGAACATGTTTGTCAGAGCGGATCGAGTGATGAAGCTCAGAACATTGCTTGAAAAATTATCGTCGGTATCCGGTCTCACCAGTGAAGAAAAAGGTTTTGATTTATATTGTGGAATTTGATTCTATTTTAGGTCGCAAAAAATAATTTATAATATACTTATAATGTGTTCAGATCCCGAAGAATTCTTAACGTCGTTAGTCGCCCAAATCTTGAATGCTGAGCCATTTCTTAAATTAAGCTCAGGACAGGATGCGTATCATTATCAACTGTTTGTTGAAAAGGACGATCATTTAAACCTGCCGACTGTGCAACAATTATTGGAACAAAGTTTCCTGACCAGTAATATCAGATTGAAGGAAGTCCCTTCGTGTCTTATTATACAAATGCCGCGCTTTGGAAAATCATTTAAAATGTATCAAAAGATACAACCTACATTACTGCTTGATGTCACGGACATTATCGAAGACTGTTAAGTATCGTGTCATTAGCGCGTTACATTAGTTATTCTTATTTGAAATGACATATTTATATATCGTTTTACAGCACCCAGACAATGTACGGTATGCGGAAAACTTGCCGAATTTGAGTGCAAGGAATGTTATGGACAATGTGGCGTCGGTCTCGAAAGTATAGCCTTCTGTTTACAATGTCTCGAAAAAGTTTGTAAAGCTTAATTCACGAAATAGACAAAAATAATTATTAGATGTTTAAAAATAAATTGTTCTGCATGTTTTTTACATAGGTACATCGTCATGAACGAAGAACAAATCACGAACCGAAGAAACTAATTGTACCAATGGAATTTGCAATTCTGCAAGAGCATTGTCCTGTACCGCGTCTGTACTTAGAGCTTTCCGCAGTGGTCTGCATCGAAACCTCGCACTACGTTTCGTTTGTAAAATGTGGTCCTGGCTCTGAGGCACCATGGTGCTTCTTTGATTCCATGGCTGACAGGAAAGGTATTTCACTTATATGCATCTATTTTATTTTGTATTTATCATTGATGGCTATTTAATTCTGTTAAACATCTTAATATTAATAGTTTTGTTAGTATCTTTTATCAAATTAAATTTTTATTATTACTAGGAGAGCAAAATGGATACAATATACCAGAAATGGTGCCATGTCCAGATTTTCCTTACTGGTTGAGTGAGGAAGGAGGAAATTATCTGACCGAATTGACAGACGATCGTCATTTACCGGAACATGCAAAACGTTTACTTTGTGACGCGTATATGTGCATGTATCAATCCCCTGATGTTATGATGTATAAATAAGTTTAACAGAATCATTTAAGTATATTTCAGAGATTTTAAGTATCATATTTTAAATAACGATCTATTGTAGTATTCCTATATTTGAACAAAGTGCAATATTCTACTGATTGCTTTCTTTGATCATGCAATATAAGTTTATATAAATGAACGTAATACGCGCTATTACCAAGGCAATTTGAGAATCTCAATCTTCTTATGTACAAAAGTAGAAATATATGCAATTTGTGGTGCCAGAAAATATGTATAATTATAAAAAATTAATTATAGATACAGTTACATATATTGGATAGCAGATAATATAGATTTAAAGACTTCTATAAAATTTCTATTTACTTTTTAAACAAACAAACATAATAAAATAAAAAAGAAATAAAAAACTTTTCTTATTTTTTTTTTTAATTAATGCTAAGATCATATCTGACAAAAAGTTATAATATTTATTTACTTAAATCTTAAATCGGTATAAAAATGGTAAAAAACTTTTCTAAACATAATATTATATTCAAATTCTATGATATAACTAGAGCATTAGAGAAATTAGAGTTTACAAAACTCTCAAAATCCCTACATACAAAAAAATAACACGTGCAACCAACAGATCCTAAAGTTCCTTAAGTAAGAGGTAGGACGCCATAGAGCTTATATACCTGGAAATTTTCCATTACAATGTGGTGTGGTTAATGTGGAACACACTGTATATTATATTGTATAATTATTTTAATTTTTTTGTAGAAAAAAAATAATTTATGTAATTTCAATGAGTTGAAACTAATGATTTGAATCAAGCGCCCTATTAATGGCGGACGGTGTCCAAATTCTGCGACTTATTTTTGTAAAGAAAGCAATTACGAAGCGCAATATCAAGTTACAATGTAAAAGTTATACGATCAGTTACGATTTATATTACCGCTGACTCTATAAACAGAGTATAATGTATGATCCCTCTAGTACATAACGATAATGATCCATCGTTACGAAATTGTCTGATAAAACTGATAACACACACACGCATCTGATAAACTGGTTAATTGGCGTACTCGGTCCGCATCAAGCGAGTGTAATGAACACGCTCGAGGCTTCGACCGACCAATTTTGCTTCATCAACGGGGCGACTCGAGTGACCCGAAGCGCAGGACGCGGTTAAACGAATTAATTCATTTGTGTAATTTGCCGCAACAAAGTGCCAAGTCTCGTGAATAAAGTATGCTCATTGAATTAGCTCGAAAGCTGTCGCATCCTATTAATTATATTATCGTTACAAGCAGCATCGTTTGTTTATAAACAGTGGGATATCATTGTACACTGTAAATATAACAATCTCTATTCTTACGACGTAGATCAAAATAAAGCAATTAACTTTGAAGGTAAATTACTTTTCAGTAGATATAAATATCTGAGTTGATAACTGTTTACAATATTCTTCGTATCGCATGCAGATGCAGTGGTTAGCCATGATAATGTGCCTATATGCTGGTGTAGTCAGTGCACGTACCGAGGAGGATCAGCAGACCTCAAGCACAAACGGAGTTTCCAGTTTACTTCCAGAACAATGCTTCTACAGACCACAAACAGACTGTCCAGATGTGGATGGAAGTTCCAATAAATGTCCTTGCAAGAGGATCACACTTGCAAATATGCCCGAGGGCAATGCTGCGCTTTGTTGTAATACAGACAAACGGGCTCTAGAATATGGTCTTTCTTGCATAGGTGAGCATTGTACTACGAAAACATCTGTCGAAGTTGCTGATTGCGGCATGAATTTCCATTGCAAATCATAATCGAGTATCGTCATATTCTAGGATTCTCATCAAACATAAGTTATATACATATACGTAATGCAACCTTGGATGAGTTTGATGCAAATGAAACCCGTTGGAGGATGTTGAAATCTCTGGCTATAACTGATGGCAAAATTAAACGGGTGATGGGCCAGTTTCTTATAATGGCACCCACACAGTGCCTGAATTTCTCAAATAATGCGCTAGTCGAGGTAGAGAGTAACTCGCTCAAGTGGTTAGCGCTTCTCAGCATTTTGGATCTGTCTTATAATAATCTCACTCACCTTCCAGCTTTGAATACAATGAACGGTCGGGAATTCTGGCTCGATATCTCAGGTAATGAAGCTATAGAGAACATCTGGTACAGCTGAATCATTATCTTGATTAAACATAACACTTGTTAACATACCGTTGTGTGCCTTTTTCTGTAGGAACAAACACACTCTGGTGCCACGACATATATCAATATATCAATAAAACGGGCGAAAAGCAAATTACGTTTAATCGCGAAAATGAGACAGTGTGTTCCGCAAATGCAACATGGCACTGGTTTAACACTACTGAACAAGTTCCTCTTACACAAGTTCTTTACCTCAGTTTGGTATGTCTAAATGCGTGTAATGCCGCATGAGATATACGAGATAATCAGAATTAATTTTGATTTTTATAGTTGCAAACAGAATGCCCAAAAGGTGATACCTGGCAATGCCTATGTGATATCAAAAGATTAGACATTATCGAAGGCAAGCCACCTACTAATGCTGTAAATGTGGACTGTAGCGGAATGCAGTTAACGGAATTGCCTGAAAAACTTCCGCAAAACACTATATCGCTTAATGTTTCTTATAATAATGTACGTGTAAAGTGTTAACAATACACTACATCACTTTTAAACTTCTGTATAACGCAATTATGCTCCAAATTTTTCTTTTTCAGATTACAGTTTTAGACAATCTGAGTACAAATCCGTGTTACGAAGATCTGCGAGAGTTTTATGCAGATTATAATAATATTTCTTCAATAAACATATTGGAGGGCGCCAAGTTTCTGGACAATTATGCCTATCTAAGTTTACGATACAATAAAATTAAGTCAGTAAGTAAGAAAATAGACAATTATTAATGTACATATAACAATATCACACATATTCTAAATATAACAATATGTTTAGCTGCCAACATACATATTGAGTTCACACAATAAGAATTTCTTAAGCTCGAGAAACCTGGTAAAGCTGGGAGGTAACAAGTTGCATTGCGACTGCAATACTGCTAAGCATTTAAAGGTATCGTATCCTTATGAAAAATATCGAACAGTTGCGTGTAACTTTACAGACTTTTCATTCCCTTTCGCTTTAGACATGGTTGCAAACGCGGATACTGGATGCCGACGAAGTAATGTGTGAAAATGTAAAGGAAAAAGTTATAGATCTAGAACCGTCCAAGATGTGCGTATATCCGGGAGACTGGACAGATTATATATATTACATTATCGCCACGGAGGTAATACTTCTGATAAGTTTGATCACCAAAGTATTGTATGACTATTGGGTGTTTAAGACTTCTGGTTATATTCCGTGGCCAGCGAATAAAATGCCGAAACTGCCGTGTGATTGGCTGTGCGATGGGTGAAATGTACAATACGCGAACGCGTATGAAATTTTCTACTGTCACAAATGCGCAATAAGAATATATTTGTCATTTTTATCAGGATATACTAAACGTGTGTTTTGGCAACTAATATATCAATTATCTATGGTATACATAGAGTACTATGGTATAGAGTAATATTTTTCGATATTTCATTCAAAAGCAGGATTTTTATAAAGTTAATCTCTGTACAAAAGTCCATGACAAATTTTTTGGTCAAATTTACACTATTTCTTAGGAGATTTATATATTGACAAGTTGAGGAATTCATCATATGTAATAATTTTATACGTATGTAATTATACAATTGCAAATGTCATATAAAAATAAAGAATTTACAAGCGATTTTGTTACGGAAAAAGATCTTGTACTTAATTCACATTGCTTTGCGAAGAGATGGTATCCTACTTACGCTTCTTCCTCTAGTTTCGATTGTTTTTCGATGCGCGATTTCCGTTTATGTCGCTTGTACGTGGGCACAGTTGATATCCTTTCGCGCGCGGGTGCTGTACGCTCCAGTTTACGTCGCTCTTTCTTATTATGCTTCTTCTTCATAGCCAACATATAATCCGGTACATCACACCCGGAAGCGCGCATAACTGCTGCGATGCTAATGAGAAAAAGAAAAATGCACAATGTGTTTCATATTGTTTTTATTGCAGTATGTACGACTGTAAAAATAAGAAATAATAAATACCTTCGTAGATTTACCGTATCCTGTTGAGTAAAAAACGTTATAGCCTTTCCCTTGTGACCCGCACGACCGGTGCGACCTGTTTCGGAAAATGTTCGAATAAGAAAATTTTCGAAGATCAATACCGTTCTGTTTCTTTAACAAGTATACCGCGTTCTCGGCGGTGTGCAACATCTCATTTCTATATAGAACATAATGGCGAACCGAATTGATAATGACCATTCTTTATATTCTATGCGAGAACATGACCTTTTACTGAGCACCTCTCTGTATAGTTGCATTGTGTGTGAGCTTATATTAAAACCATCAAAGGAGGAGAAAAATGTCTGTTTGTCATTAACAATAGCAGAGTGAGAGAAAAAGGGAGAATATTCTACATCTTTAGAGGTATATTATATAACTCTGTATAATTCTCTGATAATATCAAATGCACATAAATTCAGCTGCCAGTATATATTTTAAGTTCAAACGCTTAATAAGAATTTCTTGAAAACTTGGTTAAACTAGAAAATGATAAGTTGCATTGCATATAAGTATTTGATAATATTTTAAGTATTTGAAGGTATCGTGTTTCTAAGTAAGTAAAAAGTCAAATAATTTATAAAGACTTAAAAATGATGAATTGCTATGCAATTGATTGTTCAAAACGTGAATTTAAAGTAAACGCTAGCGAGAATTCCTCACAATAAAATTATATTCAGATTTATTGATACACTGAAACATACCTATTCTGTGGATGTAGGAGATGGCGGATGACGGAAAATCGTAATTTATAACAAGATTTACACCTTTAAAGTCTATGCCTCTGCCCATCAACTCTGTACAGATCAAGACCCATATCTTTCCTTCTCTAAAACAACGCACGATATTGTCTCTCTGAAAAAATATAATGATTAATGTAATCACCGTTCAATACAATTGTGCAGAAAAAAGTAGTTTTTTTATAATACTATACTTGTGTCGTTGTCCTATCAGCGTGAATAACGTCCACATTAATTCCATCGTAAATAAGCTCGTTGAAAAGTTCTTGAGCTCGCTCTTTACTTTGCACAAATACCAAGACCGGTGGTGATAAACCCTTTGTTAAACATTAAAAATGTATAAAGCCACAGAGTAATGTAAAGTATTGTAATTAAATTGAATTAATTGTACCTTTTGTATAATATTTCTAAATGCCACCAATTTGCCTCTTTCGCTACCAACATACAGAAGCTGTTGATCCACCATATCTGTAGCTGCATTTCTGTAATAAAGAAGAAATATTATTATTCCTACTTTTGTATAACTTATTTTTTTATAAAATTCAATAAAATAATACAGCAATGTATGTACCTTTGTCCAACTGTTACTGTCACGAGTCTCTTCATGTTGCAACGACACCACTTTGACACTGCTGGTGTGTTTGTCGCACTAAACATACCGCGACGTAAATCTGTATTAGAGCAAGCTCTCGTAATCTCTTCTAATTGCTCCCTAAATCCATGTATTCCTTCCTCAAAAAGTTTATCTGCTTCATCCACAATCAACCATTCTACACTGCAATGATAAGATAGAAAAAAGTAATTAAAAAATTTTAATCTGATTACAGATATTTTTTTAATAAAGCGCAATGAATTGTGAGACTTACTTATTTAATGAAATAGCTGGTGGATCTTGATTTAAGAGAAAAACTAATCGCTTTGGGGTAGTAATTAAAATATCTGCAACACAAAAAAATTTTACAATATAGATAGCCAGATTATTTCTATTAAAATCTTTATACGCATTAAATCATTTCACAAATCTTTGCATATTTTTCTATAAGTTTAACGACAGAAATAAATATACGATAAAATAAAATAAACATCCAATTTCCTTTTTTTACAATTTCTTCCACTTTTTACTAATTGGTTTATGTAGTTAAAAAAAATTCAGTAGATTTTAAATTGAAAAAGATATTCAAAATGCAAAGACTTTGGTGAAATAATACAACCGATAATATTATTTACCGAATTTTTGTGAACTTGATGGTCCATATTTTGTTAAAGCCTGATTCACTTTGCTAATTATGTGAATTCTAAAATCAAATCCTTCGTTCAATCTTAGGCATTCTCTATATGTTTGTTTAGCTAATTCCCTAGTAGGACTTAGAATCACTGCGCGAAAACCTTTCTTTTGTGGTCCTCTTAATGTGTGAATAATGGGTAACAAGAATGCTGCAGTTTTACCTGATCCTGTTGGAGCGCAAGCCAATATATGTCTCCCCTAGTTGTCAATGAAAATTATTAGCAACTTTATTACAGAAAAAGATATTAACAACTTCAACTTTGTATTAAAGAAACAAGTCAACTTACTTCTAACATAATTGGCATTGCTTGCATCTGAATTGGTGTTGGATATATATAGCCACAATTTTTCATATTACTCAACAAGTTTTCCGACACTTGGTAATTGGTCTTTAATTCATCAAATTCTAATATTAATTTTGGTATATGACTACCTGTGACTGAAATGTGATTCATATTCCTCAAATGATTTATCTGAAAAAGAAAAGATACTCTAGGTATGCCTTAAAAGCCTTCCTTCCTATTCATATTTGATTCGTTATACAGTAGTATTTTACAGCATGTGGGCATTAATTATACTTGTGTAAATAAACTTATGTTATTAAATCTTAAACCCGACTTTGAAGTTATACTCGCATATTGTAAAACATATGTATACTTAGATATCAAACCTTTTCTTGTTCCAGCTTCAATATCTTATCCGCAGTTGCAATTTTTTTACGTTTTTTAGTTGGAACATCATCTTTCTGTCCTGATAATCCATCCAGCAATGTTATGCCAACAGTGTCTTCAATTTCATCGTCATGATGTTTTCTCTTCGCTGTATCTTCTACATCAGGAGCTGATACTTCATTTTTAATATTTTCTTTTTTAATATTTATGTCACTTTTATTCGATCTCACCATCTGTATAAAGATATTAACACGAAATAAATATGTATGTTAACATGAATTAATTTCTAAGTTCTGATTTCTGAATAATCAATTACCTGAAATCTTTCTGCATCGTTTCGAAAACGTTTTGTATCAAACTTTACGCCGACTGCAAGTTTCTTAAAAAGATCATAAGTATCCATAATGTGTATCAAAATACGTAACTGAAATATAGAGAATCAAATACAGACGTACAGACACACAAAATATGTAGTTTTTCACGTGCAGACCTTAAAACTAACCTAATTGTGGGTATGCTAAAATTCTAGAGAAATCTAACTGTGACATTACTGTCACAAAACAACTGAAAGTTAGCCCTTCATTATAATTATTTCACTGTTATAATTAAATCACAGTTTATTGTGTTTAATCGCTTGTAGATTATTTGTACATTTTTAATAATTGATTTACTTTTTATTTAAACATTTCTTTTTAGTTCAAAATATAAATAAATAATTTTTATTCAAATATGGCGGGTAAATCTTTATAGTGCGTTTACATTAATATCAATTCTACCAATGTTAAGACTCAAGTATGGCCAACTGTTGAAGCAAAAATCTTGAATAAAATAATTGGATAAAATTTTAGCCAAGTCCATGGTTTTAACTCAAACCATGGTAAATTAATTATGGATATTAAATTATATCAACGAACATATTAGAATATATTAACAATAATCAAAACAAATAAATAGTGTACATATTAACAAATATATTATTAAATAATAAATTTTGTATGTGTTATGTTTCAGGTTTATATGAAGTAAGTAAATGTTTTTTTGTAACCTACTGCATTTTCTAAATCAAAGTTGTAATTAATAAAATATCTTTCTCTAAGTAATTACCAAATAATAAATTGTGCTTTTAATCGCAAATTTGTATTAAAATTTGATTATTATTTTATATTTATTTTGAAATTTATTTAATTTTTTCTACAAAAATAAATAATGGTTATTAAAATATATTTTACTCATTTTTATGTATATGTAAATTACATATGTATTTTTCACTTAATAATTAGGAAAAGCGAAGCTGTGAAGAAAGGTCCCATGGTGTAATGGTTAGCACTCTGGACTTTGAATCCAGCGATCCGAGTTCAAATCTCGGTGGGACCTGCTGCAAAGTCTTTTTTTTTGTATTTAATTATTCAAACTGTTTTTGAATATTGAATTGATATAGATGCTATGTATTCGTATTGAAATTTGGAGTTCGTAAGGTATGTTGTAGTAAATTCCATTAGAGCTATCAATGTCTTATAATTCCGCATGCTCTACAATTTATACTTTAACTCTAATCTAACATAACCTGTGTTTCAGAATTATATTGCGATTTAATTGACAATAAGTCGAATACTTAAATAACAGGAATAAGCAAAGATATAAGATCAGAAGTTGTGTGTCAGAAAATCTATATTTGCCCACGGCCTATATAAAACTCACGTTATAATTGCTAACGCAATTGTGATAAAGTAAACACATGACATTTATATACTGGAACATTTTTGAAATTTAACTGTGAATTCAAAGAAATGACTGAGCAATGCGACTCTGTGGTAGTTATCAAGGCAAAGCCTGATCGTAAGGTTTACAAACCTGTGAGAGCCAGTAAAATTCCTGATGAACTTTCAAACGATCCTTTGCTAAACACTGCCATAAATGCTTTACCATCAAATTATAATTTTGAGATACATAAGACGATATGGAGAATCAGGGAAGCCAAGGCAAAGCGAGTGGTTCTTCAAATGCCAGAAGGCCTTCTAATGTATGCTACAACTATAGCTGATATTATCGAAGATTTTACTGAAGCAGAGACTGTTATCATGGCTGATGTCACTTATGGTAAGATTAGAGTCTGTTATAGATTGATATATTGTTAGAGTTTTAGAGAGTTATTTGAAGATACATAGATTGTATACTTTTTCATTTAAAAAATTGCTCTAAAAAATCATTGTAAGCACTAAAATGCTAAAGAAACTTTGTTGCTGTCTTTAATAATTTTGGAGAAAAATGCTTAGTGGGACATCCTGTATAATACTTTATATTATTATTGATTGCAGGAGCCTGTTGTATAGATGATTATACAGCAAGAGCGTTGGATGCGGACTTCCTGATTCATTATGGACATTCATGTCTCATACCTGTGGATCAGACTGTTGGTATCAAAGTACTCTATGTGTTTGTGACTATAAGAATTGATATTTCGCATTGTGTGGAATGCCTGCGAGTCACTCTGCCTGTTACTGCAAAATTAGCGCTATGTGGTACAATACAATTTGTTACGACGATACAAGATGTGGCATCAAAGCTGAGAAAAGAAGGTTACGAAGTTTCAGTGCCACAGAGCAAGCCACTTAGTCCTGGAGAAGTATGTGCTATATATTTTTCAATGCATTTGGTAATCGTGGCATAGAATAATATAATAAGTAATTTCTTTTCAAGATTTTAGGATGCACAGCACCGCAAATTCGGTGTGCTGATACGATAGTCTATATAGGAGATGGCCGTTTTCATTTAGAGGGCACCATGATCGCCAATCCTAGACTGAAAGCATTCAAGTACGATCCATACGCGAAAAAATTGACCGAAGAGTTTTATGATTATAAGACAATGTTGAAGACTAGACATGAGGCGATACAACAAGCCATGAAGACCGACAAGTACGCTTTCATACTTGGCACTCTGGGCAGACAAGGCAGTCCTAATGTATTAAGGACTCTGCGGAATGGAATGGAAGCTTTGGGGAAGGATGCCGTCGTCATACTTTTGTCGGAAATATTTCCCGACAAAATCAAATTATTCAAAGGCGTCGACGCGTTCATACAAGTACGATTTTCATTTTTTACAAAAAGCAAGCAACAAATGATTTAAAAATTTACTTGGTTTCTTTTTATCATTATTAATATCTATTTTACAAAAAAGCCAGAAAAAACTATTTAAAAAAAAATTAAAAGATACACAAAGATATAAAATATATAATACATTTTCTATAATAAATAGATCATCCAAATAAGAAACACAAATAATATATTTTATTCAAGATTGCATGCCCACGATTGAGCATTGACTGGGGTCTCGCGTTCGGGAAACCATTTCTCACGCCTCAAGAAGGTGCTGTCGCCCTCAGCATGACAAAACTCAACGAGAATCAGGACTATCCCATGGACTTCTACGCTGCGAACAGCCGCGGACCGTGGACCGCGAATCACAAGGAATCTAAGTTAGAAAAGAGCAATATCTGCTGCGGTGAATGTAAGATGAATGAATAAAGAGAAGTTGAATATTTTAAATCCTCCGTGTCATAATTATTAATCTATTAAATTAACTTTCCTTTTTCTGTTCAGCTTTTTTTTTCCACGATATTGCCGGGTCGCGCAATTCGCAAGAGTTTCTAATAAATTTTTCATTAAACGCAACATGAGTTTGAGCAGGTGCATTCGAGCCCTGTCCATATTAAATCCCCGTCATCTCTAACTTGTTGGTAGCGCAACGATAATGGAAGGGGGCAACGATAGGAGGATCCGCGTGGGCGAATTACGTCATACGCCCACCTGTAGCCCGCTCATATATATAGACGTTGAAATACTGTATATACAAGGTGTGCGCGAAGGGATTACATTCGTGATTCACTCTTTCCGCCTATTTCTTATAATTAGTAAGAGACATTACAAAGCACAAACTAAACGCAATTGCTTGGAATAACTACACGTTTTTACAAACTATATCGATAAAGCCATGCAAAAATCTTTTCGAAAAAAATTAGCACCGACCGCGAAGTTATAATTTATACAAATTGAAATGTTCTTAATTGGAGTGTGTTGAATATCAACATCAATATTTGTTATCCTCACATTATGAAAGAATGCATTGTACGAATAGGAAACATACAAGGTGAATTTATGATACAGCGATTAGAAGTGGTTGAAAGTAAGAGGGAGAAGAAAAAAGACACAGGGTATATAATAAAATACCGGGGGTGGAAGGCGGCGCCGGCCGCACCCCGGCGTCGCGACGTCAGTCGTCGTTCCAGCGTGGCTCAACAAGTACACGCGGCGCCGAGTGCCACGGATTCAAATTTCGCAAATTTCTGACGTGACTTCATTCTGTAGCTATTTAACATTAAAATGCACTAAATCGACGAATATATCGTTAACCGCGAGAAGAGGATCGCAAATTATCTTTCACAGGGATTAATCAACGATCTAAGTCAACATTGGCAAAAAGTAAGTTGCAGAAAATTACACAAGTGTCAATTTTTGTATTATTCTTGTAGTAATCTTTTCTTCACTCTTCTTAAGAAATTTAAATTGGAGAGTACAAATTAATGAATGTGTAGATTTAAGAAAATATATCCCAAAATCATAATCGCAGTAAATATTGCTTTATTAGGAAAAAGAAAAGTACTATGCGGTCTAAAGTGACGAACGAGAATACTTGGGAGACAAAGTGGGCTACTGAATCATCGCGAAGCGGTAGGAGCTTGCGGCGGGCGACAAAAAGGACGGAATCATCGGGATTGAAATTGTCAAAACCCACCAGGGGAAACACCGCACGAGAGAGGACTCTCAGGAGGCTAGAGAGCAATGAACGAGAACGTATGCGGATGCACAGCTTAAACGATGCATTTCAGGTGCATAGAGAGACAGTAACAATACAGTATGCCTAGTCATATCTTAGTAAAAGACTGATAAAGCTGATAAAAGAAAGATTATTACATAAAAAAGAGCATGTCTGTATCTTCTCGTCTCTGATCCTTTTTGGAAACCAATTATATGAAATCTTGTGTGTGTGTGTGAGGTGTGTTAATAAAATCTTTTCATCTTTCCAGTCTTTACGCGAAGTGATCCCGCATGTTACCAAAGAGAGACGGCTCTCGAAGATCGAGACACTGACTCTGGCGAAAAATTATATAGTGGCCCTTACGGATGTGATATGCGCCATGAGAAGCGAGGAACAACCGAAGGATCAGCAGACAAGTGGATCCGAATCTCAAGATTCGTCAAACAGCGAACAGCGATCGGAATCGACCGCTATTCACGTAAATATTCCCATTACCTCCAGATCCTGCAACTCAGAATCTCAGAATTTTTATCAGAGTGATCATTCGCGATAAGAGAACGGTTGTAGCAACATTACAGCTCTTTAAAAAAATCACGGCGATAAACAATATTGAAATGAAGTACGAATTAAGATCTTTACAAGTGGCACTTCGGCTAGTCTTCCTTCGGTTAAGCTTCCTTTCTTTATCATGCATGCGTTTACATTTCAAAGAGCTATTCAATTCTAGAGCTACCTAAACCATAGCAGAATTAATGATGTATTTTACGACTGACATAATAATCTAAGGAAAATACTAAATGTGCCAAAGAAAATAGTATTCATCGCAAGAACGAATAAAAGAAGATAATATTATATAAATATTAATATAGTAATATTTATAGTATTTTATTTCGTATACAATGTTATTTAGAGAGAAATGCATTCCACAAAGTAAATGTTTGTTATATATGAAGAATCTTGGAAAGTTGCTAGATTTTTTGTGTGCATTTGCGAATAAGTGAGAAAAGTATAAAATTTTATTTTTTTATAAATAATTTTACAACAAATTCTAGTTATTTATTACAAATTACTTTGTGAACCTTTAATACGTTATTAAAGTGTAAACGACAAACACGGGCTACTTGTAATAAATAATTTATATATATATTTACTATATACAATATATATTATGATATAATATATATAAATATATATTTAGATTAAAATAAATTTAACTATATATTTGAAAAAAATTTATTAAAATTTTTTACCGATTTCTCCTACTCCTTACGTAGAAATTGTGTGCCATTGTTCTTCAATGCTTTGCTTAAATCATCTCTTTTATAGAATAAAGCATTATTTCTTGTATATAATACAAATTGTGTCAATCAACACAAAACGAAATAGGCTGTGTCGTAAGGTCTTGTAAATTGACTAGAACCGCCGTTTTTGTCTCCAAAAATTTAGGAACGCTTATCAATCTCACTGTTTGCCCTTCATCGCCTGCATACGGCATACAAGAATTATTTCGCTAGAAATCACATCAAGCAAAAAAAAAAGATTTTTACCTGTAATCAATTTCGTATCGTATTCATTCATGTTTCCGGCGAAATATATGTCTGGCCACTCCTTCATAACAAATGGATCTTTCTTGAAGAACGGATGAATTGAAAGCGTGTCAGGCCCGGTTGGTGCGTAATGTCTCCAGATTAAGGTACGCTCCAGCCACTCTAGTGGAGACAGCTGGGATAATCCAGCCACTTTCATGATATCAAAGATCGGCCCACCGCAAGAACCAGCTACAATACGACCACCAATATTTCCAATCCACGGATTAGTCGCACCATGCATATTCTTGAACCTACGTTACATCGATACTATGTAAAAAAAATAATTTGTAAACTACCTGTGTTATATACAAAAAATGCCGGATAAAAGAACATATTATTGTTACCTGGCTGATTTTGGCAGAGTACATGGATGGAAAGGTTGCTGTGGCATACTGTGGTAGCAAGTGGGATCAAACTCTCCCGGCATCAGACTGACGGAACAGCAATGAAGAATATTACTGAGAAAAGCATCTAATTTGTGCATCGCCATGATGTCTTCCTTGATTTTTAGCTGGTCGTGTGATTTAATTTCGTGGTAGCCTTTATAATTATACATCTTTGCAGTACCACGAATGGTATTTCCTAAGCGATTATTTGTGTATGAATTACACAACAAGTGCTGGTGAGGAAATGCGAGCGTTTCAGTATTTTCTCTCACCAGTGATAATAACTCTAGCAATTACTGCTTCTTCCTTTTGAGCATTGATACGTCCTGCCATTCCAGTTATCCATTCTGAGAGCAAATCTAAACAAAGGTCTTCTTCGTTATTAACTAAGTCTAATCCAGACACTAATAAGATTTTCCCTTCTTCCACCAATGAATTCGACATAGAAGGTCTAGGACAATATCCTGGAAAACACCAATCCTCTACCTAAAAACAAAGTGTTACATCAGTAATTTATTAGAAAGCATATCTGTATGTAAATCAATTGCATATGTACCCAAAACGTTCCATTTTCTAATTCATGACCAAATACCGCACAGACAAGTCCTGTAACTATTTCTTGCATATTTACATGATTCCCTACTAATTTTATGCGCAACGTTTTGTCCTCCAAAAATAAATTATCCTCGGTTGATGCATAGTTGCTATTCGACTGAACTTCTAGTTGCAATTCCTTGCTAAGATCACGTAATATAGAAGGCTTCAGCTTTTGATCCTTATAAAGTATTCCTATCAGAATATATGACTTTCCTAGATTTTCTAAGGCCAGACTTGAGACCTCTACATATGGATGGCCGACTATAACAGATAAAAAATGGAGTAATGCAAATAATATATGATAAGCAAAGATAAACCTTGGATATATAAATTTTGTGACTTACTCCATTTCAGTTTCGCTCTATGCAATATGTCTTCTTGCAAATCGTTCAGTCTTGCTGTATATATATTGAAGGAATCGTCATCGTATTTTCTTTCAGACAGTTTAAATCTGTCAAAGTCTTTGAAGGAGACAATTTTCCGATCGTAATGGCACGTATCGTCGCACTCCATTCTTTCGTGATCAAAGTTCTCCAAACTGAAGTGAACTGACAAAGTTCTCCATGACTGAAGTTCTCCAAAATTTCAATCATCTAGTAACCACAAACAAAACAAAATAACATTGTTAAATATTATGATATTCTATAATACTAAAAACAAATATTTGAAAACTTACCTCTTGTTGCTTTCCATAATCCGAAAAAGAACGCGCGCTTTGAAAGAATCATATGATTATGCTGTCATTACGTCATAAAGTGTAGATAAGTATAGATAGGTTGCCGATTCTATAATAAGAACGATGCCGGAATTTCAATTTGCAAAGTCTGGTAAAAACGTTTTCGAACGTGGAGCCAAAACTTTTTTAATTGCAGGACTGCAAAGTTAAGAAATCATAATTATCTGTAAAAAAATTAATTAAAACACATTTATATATCAATCTTTCTTGTATAAATCTCTTTGTATTCATTCCTGTGAATAAAGCCTAATATATATAATCTACCCTTTCCGTACTCGAGTGTTCGCTCATGCATCTTGGTTTATCTTACTTTATCTAGTCCATGATCATCTGTGTTGGACGGAGGTGGTTTGAGGAGGACGAGAATACTTCAATTTGATTCTAATTTGATTCTGTGTGACAGAAGCGACTTTTCTTCCCACGTTTTTCTTCTTGTCACAGAAAAAATGCTACCGAATTGCATCAGGAATGTCGCCGCGCAATCGTCCCGACGAAATGTAAGTGCATACCGATGAATGTGATGTGTGACCTCTAACTCGCGTTCTCTGTGTCAGGACGAACAAACTCCCCTCCCCGTCTTACGAATCCCAGATTCATCACTTGCGAGTAATTTCATGAATCTTCTTCTTTTTTTATCATTTTGCATACTCTCTCCAGTTTGGAAGCTGGAACGAGGTAATTATCATTCACGCGATCCAAACATACTGCAGCTTACAAGGTGCTGCTATTTGTCTTGCAATCTGTATTTTGGTGATTTTGTGCAATTGCTGTCAATGAGGGCTCTTAAAAAAAAAAAATACACTCACCACTAAGTCACAAAATGGTGTAAATTTCACCTTGCAGCACATGTTACAGTGATGTGTCATTTTCACATTTGCTGTAAGTTTATTAATTAACTGATGTTTTTACAGGTTGCTTCATTTTTCTTAAGCAAGAAAAATAATTATGCCACTGAAGCTTCCTTCGAGACCAAGCCCTTCCGTCTACACAAATTGGACAACGGCCCATCCACTCAAGTCACAGTCAATCGAGATGATGCCATCCAAATGTTTAAGCATCTGCACACTATACGTCGTATAGAAACAGCAGCTGGTAACTTGTATAAGGAAAAGATTATTCGAGGTTTCTGTCACTTGTATTCTGGACAAGTAAGAATCATTTGTTTATAATATATTCTTTATATATTCATTTTAAAATTCCAAAATATCTTTATTCTCTTCCCAAAAAAATCTCTAATATAGATAATAATTTTACGCACGTAAGACACTAGCTTCGCTTTTTTAATATATGAATAATCACAATGATTAAATTTTATAGTATGTCAAATAAACAACTATTTTTATAGCTCTGATAAACTTTTATGTACTGATGTTATTTTTAAAATTATTCCAATTCTCTTTGTTGTATTCTTGTATCTTTTATAGGAAGCTTGCGCGGTTGGCATGAAAGCTGCAATGAAACCCCAGGATGCTGTAATCACTGCTTATCGTGCGCATGGATGGACTTACTTGATGGGTATAGAACCGTTTGGCGTCTTCGCGGAACTCACGGGTAGACAAGGCGGCAATGCCAAAGGCAAGGGTGGCTCAATGCATATGTACTGTGAGAATTTCTATGGTGGAAACGGCATCGTTGGTGCACAGGTCAGTATTGGTTGTAAAATAAAATTTAATAAATTGTTATCGATTTAACTTTGTCATGTTTTAACATTGTCTCTGCAACTAGGTGCCACTAGGAGTCGGAATCGCCTTTGCACAAAAATATTTGAATACTGGTGGTGTCTGTCTGGCGTTGTACGGCGACGGTGCAGCCAATCAGGGACAGGTGTTCGAAGTATACAACATAGCAAAACTGTGGGACGTACCTTGTATCTTCATTTGCGAGAACAACGGATACGGGATGGGCACCAGTGCGGAGCGTGCTGCAGCAAGCACAGATTATTACACCAGAGGCGATTATGTTCCTGGAATATGGGTATTATATTTATTTTCTTGATAAATTAAGATTTTATTTCGATGAATGAAATTAATATTTTATTTCGATGTACGAAATTTATAATAGAATTCACCTCACAGGTGGACGGAATGGATGTGTTAGCCGTAAGAGAAGCTATGAGATTCGCCAGAGATCATTGCACATCCGGCAAGGGGCCGATTATCCTGGAGACTGCGACGTACAGGTACAGTGGGCACAGTATGTCGGATCCTGGTACGAGCTACCGTACGCGAGAAGAGGTGCAAGAAGTACGACAGACCCGGGATCCTCTGACTAGTTTTAAAGAGAGGATTCTCAATGCTAATCTCGTTACTGCGGAGGAAATCAAAGTCAGTCGTTAAAATTAACATCAGATATCAATAATTTACCTTCTTATTTCTTAAAGCGGTCTATAAATACAAGGTCTTTTTTTCGTTATAGGCGATAGAAGGTGAAATCAGAAAATCAGTGGATGACGCCATGAAAGCTGCCAAGGCCGACAAAGAAATTCCATTGAGCGAACTCACTGCCGACATTTACACGACGTGTCTAGAAAAAGAAATTCGAAACATAACTCCGTTTAATCCTCTATCGCACACCAGATTAGGACCAGCCGTGAACGCTTAAAACTGCTCAAAGATTATTTCCTAAAATATTGCATATTTTTCGGTCACGTGCTAATTCATAGACTCACAAACTAGTTGTAGAGACATGTACATTTATATGATTCTTTAATCGAGGGTGTATAATATTACTACGCTGTGAAGAAAACTGAACTATTTAAACAGATTAATTCAAGCACGATTTTAATAAATCGGTGTTTACAACCGTGATTCACAAATGTGTATAATTTTTCTGTTATAATTATTAGATGTCTACATATTAAAAAGATCTGTACTTCTCTAATTTGATAAATTAAATTTATTTATTATCAATTTATTTCTGTTAGACAAATTATTATAATGAGAGGACTCTATGATACGATGCGTGCCTAAAATATAAGCTGTTGATTAATATGTTAATAAGAAAATAAATAAACATTTCTTTATTATGATTGATTAATTAATTTTATTTGCGCTTGTTTATTGCATTATTTTGCAAAACAAGCGCGAGTAATTGATGTTTGCTGTTAATTTAATAGATCTTCCTCTTAAAAAAAAACAGCGATTAATTGACCTTCGAGAGACATCGATATTGTTCGGAAAATATTATTAACACTTTTGCGGCCGATCATGTATTTTTGTTTTTTTTTTTATAAGTCAGAAGCCGATCACGTATTTTTTCGTTTATATTTTGGTATAAGTCAGGAGCCGGTCACGTAATTTTACTATTTACTGTCTTTGGCATCACTACATTAGATCGTGAAATGTCGGATTTTACATCAGTTCAATAGAGCGGCTCCAAGCGTTGAGCAGAGCCGAATATATAACGGTCGCGAAAGTGTTAACAATAATTAGACGATTAGTTTTTGGAGGAGGAACTGCTTGATAAATTTGAAAGTATATACCAATTACAAGCAATTGTCACCTTAAGGTTGCATAATCGTTGCATTTCCTAAGCATCTCGAAACCATCTCGAAAAAGAAGCATCGAACGTGTCGATTAATCGACATCGAATGTTAGCCATATCTCTCTAATGACGAACGCGACAGCGACAGGTATATGATTAACCAACGTTACATACACGGTTTTGTTGACTGAAGATATTTTTTCACGAGAAAAATGGCCCGAGTCGTAGCAGTGAAGGAATATCTCGAGAAAGTGTTGAAGGACGAGAGCAAGCCGTGGGCGAAGTTGTACGCTGCTGCGGAGGAGAAGACCGGCATTGATCGGCTGTATCTTTTCATCGGTGAGTTGCTCTATACATATGAATTACAGAGATTTCGTTCCTATAGATTGGCTGTCAGCCGCATATATTGCAGATAATTACGGATAATCGCGTCGATACTAGTGTGACTTTGCGAGTTTTTCCACGATTTGCATTACTTGGCACTCGTTACGCAATAATTTTTTTTTTGTTACGAGCTGCTTTGATCTCATTGCTATATAAAAATATATTATACATATTTATTTCTCTCCGAAAAATCTACAACCTGTTGATCTTTGGTCAGGTCATTAATGAATCATATAATGATATCGCTTTCAGGCATCGCTATATTTTGCTTAGTCATGCTAATCTCACAAAAGATACGTAGATTTAAATATTGTATATACATCTAATAACTTCTTGAAAATTATATTTTTACTATTTATGATTTTTTATAGTTTCCTTGGTGCTGTTGGCCATATATTTGGTATTTGGACTCGGGCAACAGTTAGTATGTAACATAGTTGGTTTTGTTTATCCTGCATACCAATCTATGAAGGCGCTGGAAAGCTCCAACAAAGAGGATGACACAAAGTGGCTTACTTATTGGGTCGTTTTTGCTGTATTTACCATAGTAGAATTCTTTTCTGAATATATTGTCTGTTGGTTTCCAGTCTACTGGCTATTCAAGGTATAACTATAGATTTTATTCTTAGACATTGTTACGAGAGCAAATGTTATAATTTCATGAATTTTTGATTCAGTGTATATTTTATGTATGGTTGATGGCACCAACCGAGTACAATGGTTCCTTGATTCTATACCGCCGCATCATCCGTCCAAAGTTCATCCAATATCAACCTGGATTAGACAGATTTTTGTCTAATGCCCGTGATACAGGTAAAATAATTTTTAACAAAAGTAATGCAGCTTTCTCAAAAGAATAAATTAACGTCTTAGAAAAATATTTGTTTTATATAAATAAGTGGAAATGTAAGAGCACATTATTATTGCAGCAGTTAAATCTGCAGCAGAAGCGCTGCTGACCACCAAGCAGGATTAATGGACTGCAATTTGAATCAATAGAAAGTCCATTTGTGTCTTTCCCTTTTTACTCATTCCCAACAGAGAGAACGTGAATTTTATGCTTCGCTGAATATTACTGTGTTCCATATTTTGTACAGAGTACAAACACAAGAAGTAATACTAAGATAAACATAAATTTTAAGTGTCCAAATACAACAAACATTTGTTAATGAGATTGGATAAAACTAATTACTCGAAATTATGAGCAAATAATGAATACAATGAAAAGAACAGAAAACTTATCTTTTCGAAAAATAAATTATCTGTAAAATAAAATGTAATAGTTTGGATTTAAAATTAAATTAAAAAATAATTTTAAAAGAGTTTCAGCGTGGTATGAAAATAGGCGTTTTGTTTTCAATCGTTTGGTAGTGATTTCGATTTGAAAACAAAACATTGGAGTGTTTTTGCATTGTAGGATAGGCTCGTCGAGTGTGTCTTTGCCATCCTTTGTGTAATTATTGTTGAGGTATATGTATATATACACATCAACATATTTAGTGTACTTTATTTTATAGAGGAGTGTTTCACCAACGTAAAACTTTGATCATTTCATTTAACTCTTTGTCTCTTTACAAATTAGCTATTTCCTTAAGTATTACTGTTAATCATGTACGCTAATAATTTTTCGATTTTTCATCCTAAAATATTTGAAATATCAATTTGAATTAGATAAACTTGATGTTGGTGAAAATAAATTTATAATCTATTTTACTAGATAAGTCTTTAGGCACAATTGATAAGAAGCGTGCGTTTAAAAGTTATTACAAAGTTACTAGAAATCGAATTGGAAGTATTATATAAAATACAGAAATAATATGTAATAATCCGATAAATTGTACAAAGAAGTTTATCAAATTTTTAATAAAAACTGTTGCCATGTAACTTGTTCGCGAAAAGACGAAATAAGCCTGCTAGTTAGTTCTAGAAGCAGGTTGCCAATGAAAGCGATATTCACGATTAGCTTTTGTATATCACATCATATATATATAAGGTTGCATCGTATTTGCATGCGATTGTCTTCTACTCATAATATATTCTATCTACTGTCGCACAAAAGTTTCAAAACATCTTGCAATTTTTAAATAAATTAATCTTTTTAGATACAATTATCTTATTAAAAAGATATTGACATAAATTTACAAAAGTTTGTGATTACAACGACAAAAAATTACATATATTTACAATGTCAGAAAATAAAATTAATTGAATTTTTTTCTGCAAAAGAATTGTCCTTTTTTTATATGACACACTGATACAATCTTGATGCTCTAATAATTAATTTTTAAACATTTCTGTTTTGATATTAGACTATCTTACAAAATTGCTTATCTTCCACGAAAACGTAGTTTAATCGATTTTATTTTCTAATATTGGACATGTAAATAATTTTATTGTTATTGTTTTATCTTAAACTTTATTTACATACATTTATAAATAAATATCAAAATTTAATGTAATAAAATAATTGTCCAATTTTATATAAAAATTCTAAAGTGATCGAAACTTTTGAGCAATAGTGTAGCGGTTCTCGAACTACTTCGATTTTAGAACATGTACAGGGATACATTTAGAGTATGTGTATTGCTCAAGTTAAGCCACTATTTCGATGCCGAATAATTTAATAGTTAATTATCTGACAAAAGGTTCGACGTTCAAATTCGTGAATCGAATGTTCAAAACTTTATTTAATCACATTTAAAGTTCTTCATATTCTGTGTGCGGTATTATTGATTGTACCAGATTTTATGATTCTTTTCTTAAAATTGTAAATTTAGAAGTATTGACGGAGATTGTAAATCATTGATATGCACAAATAAATATCTTTTTATTTTATACATTTCTTTCTTCCTGTTTCTCTTTTTATTTCTGTCTTTATTCTTCTCATTTATACTGATAATTGGTGTCACAGAAGGAAATCGGTTTCCTGTAATGTATTCCTGCAGAAAATCGAGATAATATATAATAGTCTCATCGAGTAATAAAAGCAACAATTAAGCCCTAGAGTATGAACGAATAAATAGTGCGCGTAAACGCATAATGCTTTTCATAAACAAATTGTGATAAAATTTGTTTCAGAACTATTCCATCAAACAAAAAAAAATTATTTTTTGATGTTTATACAAGTAGAAAAACAAATTAATTAATTTCGCAACTTTCAAATAAGCAGTGTCCGTCATACTCTTGAAGAATTCTCCTGAAAGTTGAAGCGCACACATACACATACATATAAAAGACACAAAAGAAATTACATTTCTTTGAAATGGAATTTTTCTGCTGTCAATGCAAGCTTCCTTATGTGACGAATAGTAGAAGCAGCTGCGATTTGCACCTCTGAATCGTCCGAACCCACCAAGCGCAGGACGTGCTGTTGGAAAATTCCATTAACATTTTTCAAATATTCTAG